TTTCTCCAAATTGAATGTGGTGTATACCTATTTGCCAAATGTATTTCATTGCAGAAAACACACATATATATTGTTTGTAAAGCCTCTCACAAATGAATGTTTATAATACATCTTAGAAATTCTTGCATAGAAAATTTTGAATGTTCTTCTTGGTGTGTGTTGTGAACTGAATGTGTTTCCCAAAAATCCATATTATGAAGTCCTAATTCTCAGGACGATGGTATTAGGAGATGGGGACTTTGAGAGGGAACCAGATACAGATGAAGTCATTAGGGTGGAGCCGCCACCATAATCTGACCATGCTGGCACTCTAATTTCAGACTTGTAGACTCCAGAATGTGAGAAACAAATTTCGGGTTTTTAAGGCATCTAGTCTATGGTATCTCGCTATGGCAGTTTAGGCTATATATATGCAGATGAGTAGTCTGGGATAAAACTGAATTTTTGGTTCATCCCTGACACTAGCAGTCTAACTTAATTTCTTAGTCTGTCAATTCATCTGTAGAGACAAAAATATTTATCCTTCAGGGTTGTTGTAAAGACTGTATGTACATAACTCATAATAAACTATGATAAATGATATGACAGCTATTTTTATTATTATTTACCATTATTATAGGTTTCTCTTACACCTGGTTTAAAGAGAATTGAAAATTTGGAACTTTATGAATTAGGCTACTCAAACTGGAAAATTCTGGCCAAAATACAGTAGCCCTTTGGATTCTTTTTGATGAGAACAATAACTTAAAATCTGTTGCTGTTAAAACTGGGTCCAGAAATTTAACCTTGGAGCTTCTGGAGTGATAATACATCAACTATTTGAACATGATCAATACTTAGTGATAAACCTAGTTGAGACCTTGCTCTCCTGGGCACACTGATTTTTATTAGCATTTGTTGCTCAACAGACCTAGTTGTATCAAATGATGTGTTATAAGTATTAGTTGGGCACTCCACTGAGCTCTAATACTTTGAGAAATTTTCATATAACAAACCTCAAAGATTATTTCTGGGATATGAATATCATTTTTATACCCATAGTATCTCCAGGTGGTTATCACAGTACTTTAAATCTTGTGCAGGTTGAAAGTAATTCTCATAATCCAATTTTTTTTTGCTTGAAAACTGTATATATCTTTGGCTAGTAATTGTGTTTCATAAAAATTATGGAAAATGTCCTCAGATCTAGATACATTTTTTTGAAAGGCCTACCTGACAATTTAGCCCAGTACCTTAACTCTAAAAAACAAATACATCAATATTGAAATTTGTGGACATTAAAGTGATAGAAATATGATTTGAGCATTTATTCTATAACATACTTTCCTTTTAAAATACTATTTTTTTGAAAACCTGATTTTACAAGTTAAAATCATTTGTGCTAGGCATGGTAGGAATTTTTTTTTTTAATGAGTAAGCTGGATAAGGTTTCTTTTGCCTTTGGAGACCTTGTAACTTACTATTATTTATATTTTTGTGCATAGCCAACATATCCATCGAGAGATAAACAGTATGCTGTACTTAGTTTTCTTAATATATTTTCCAGATGTGCAAGTGCTCTCCCAATGCTTTTTCTTAGCTTCTTTTTTAAAAGTTTTTATTTAAATTCCAGTTAGTTAACCAACAATATAATATTAGTTTCAGGTGTACAATATAGTGATTCAACACTTACACACAACACTGGGTGCTCATCACAATTACTGCACTCCTTACTTGTTGGGATGAGCACGAAGTGTTATATGTGGGTGATGAATCACAGGATTCTGCTCTTGAAAGCAGTGCTGCACTGTATGTCAACTAAATTGAATTTAAATTTAATAAGACCCCTGCACTCCTTCTTCCCCATCACCTATTTCACCCATCCCCTCACCCATCTCCACTCCAGTAACATTTAGATTGTTCTCTGTCATTAAGAGTCTGTTTCTTGGTTTGCCTCTCTCACTTTTTTCCCATTTGCTAATTTGTTTTGTTTCTTAAATTTCACATATGTTTGAAATCCTATGGTATTTTTCTTTTTCTGACTGACTTATTTTACTTAGCATAATACTGTCTAGCTTCATCTACATCACTGCAAATGGCAAGATTTCATTATTTTTGATGGTTGGGTAATATTCCATAGTGTATATATACCACATCATCTTTATCTGTTCATCAGTCAATGGACACTTAGGCTGTTTCCATAATTTGGCATTATAAATAATGCTGCTATAAACATTGGTGTGTGTGTCCTTTTGAGTTAGTACTTTTGTGTCCTTTGGGTAAATACCTAGAAGTACAATTGCTGGTTTACAGGGTAGTTCTATTTTTAAGTCTTTGAGGAACAGTTTTCCACAGTGGTTGTATCAGTTTGCATTTGTATCAACAGTGCAAGATGGTTCTCCTTTCTCTACATCTTTGCCAAAACCTGTTGTTTCTTGTGTTGTTGGTTTTAACCTCTCAATACCTTTTTGAATCATTATTTATGCATGTAGATAGATAGATAGATAGATAGATATGAAATGTGTGTGTCTGTGTATGGAAAAAGAGATAAAAAATAAATGAACAGATAAATTAATCCCTGCTTTCTATTTTCAATTCATTTCTCCATAGAATAGCATTTTGCTATGAGATCAGTTAGGTTCCCTTAAAACACAAAGTTAATGTGAGAAAATATAACTGATTGGGTCTCCTTTAATTTTTCAATTCTTATAGGACATTTAGGTAAGTGATAATGGGAAAACATGTGTGTATTCATACGAAATTAAAATTACTAAATTGAAACATACAAATGAATTGCAAGTTCACTTCTCCAAAATATATTATAAAAGATGTAAAATTTGGATATAAGTGCATTAAGCTTTCTTTTTTAAAGTATAGTAACTAGAAGTCTCATTTTTCATTTGCCAATCAGCTATAGTCTGGTTCCTTTGGGTCTTTCTTTGCAATACATTGAATTGTTATTTAATTCAACTCCAGCTGCCATTTCCCCCCCAAATCAGTGTTTTCAAAATTCTATTCTAGACTAGCTATAGCAAATGCATATTAAGTTCATGGTAGCTGGTATTTAGTACATAAAATTACTGAAACTGAGAATGCCATTATGCCAGCTAATTTTTGACCTAGGATACAGTCACCTGTCTTTCTATGGATTGACTTATCTTCAGGCACTTACCTATATTTGGTCCAATCTGTGGGGACCAATATTACAGGGTCATGTGGTATAAAACATGACCAACAAAAAACTTATTTTAGAATAAGAGCTATGGGTGAGGCCAGTTGACATCAAAGATGCTGTGGGAAGGCAGGCACCATGCTCTTTTCCTACTCCTCTTCAGAATGTTTAGGTATCATTAACCAGGAATGAAAGAAATGGAATCTCTTTTGATGTTTATTGATCCTATAATTCTATGAATTAGGAATTAGAGAAAATATAAGAAAATAACACTAAAAATAGTACGTATTTCCTTTTCTTATATATTTGAAACTGTGCATTATGCTGTATTTTAGATTTTTTAAATGATTGAGACTGATTTGACATGTCCAAAAAACTCTTAACAAGAGAAACCAGACACTTGGGTAAGAATTCAATATATCTTCTTGTTTCCATGATTGTAAAAAAAAAGTTGTGTATGGTGGAATGAGAGACACCAAGTAGAGAGAGTGGCACTTCACTCTATTTTTCCCCTATCTAACCCTCAAATGTTCTAATGACCTCAGCCAAGTCAAAATAATTCAATATAACTTAAATTTATCCTAGCAGTTCTCAGCAGTTGGGTCAAGTTTTTGGCTGAGTTGTACATTTAGCATTTATAACTATATTCTACCTTAAAAATAAAAGCAGTACTTCTTAATCTTCAAAGAAGTAAAACAAGAGACTCACTATATCACTTGTTTTTTATAAGCAAAAATTCAACACAGAATACATACTATAGGCTGTGCATTGCCGTGGGAAACAAGCCAAGATACATTTCAATCTCAGCTCTTTCACCTACTAGCTGTATAAATTTGCTGAGTTGTCTTAAACTTGCTATACCTTCACTTCCTAACATGTTCAATGGGAGAAATAATATTTGCCTCCAGTTGTTGTGGTAGGTATTAAATAAAATAATTTATGTAAATCGCTTAACAAAGTACTTGTCTTATTAATAAGCACTCAATAAACAACAGTCCTCTAGACCACATCTCCAAAGCAATGAATATAAAACAATCCGCTAACATATCAAAGAACATATGAGATATTTAATTTGTACATTACTTCATTTTTTAAAAAAATTATATTTATACATACATAAATACATTTATAAAATTTCAAATAAATGTAAACATGTACTTATCTCATATATGCTGAATTTTGGAGGGTATTTTAATTTTTTCCCTTTTTGTTTGCCTCATCCCTCTTTCTCTCCTTCCCTCATATCAACTCCCTTTCTCCACAATACACAAATATATTCTAGATATTCCATGTTAGAATACTAGTATACATCTGCATAATATTAATTTATTAAATTTCCTCTTTTTCCTCAAGAATGTTTAAGGTATATTGATATAGTAGTGTGTGTATGTCATATTTAAATAAATAGACAAAAATCAAGTGTACTTGCTTAGATTTTTTTTTTTTAACTTTGTGAAGTAGTCTTCTGCCTACTCTTGTAAGTTCTATGAGGTTGTGAGGACACTTTTAAATGCCTCATTTGTACTTAAAAAAAAGGCAGCCAGACAGTATATTAACCTTGCCCATCTAAACCTACATGGTTAGAAATTTGTCTGATCATGCTCTGTTAAAGAATCAGGATTCTAGCACCTCACTGAGATTATTACGTTGCAGCCTCCTTAGGTTCACCTCACTGAGATTATTATGTTGCAGCCTCCTTAGGTACACTTATATGGTGGCTTTAATGCTGAATGTATTCTTTCTTGCTTGCTCTATTAGGTGCCTGGCAGTTGTGTATGGTGAAGGGAGTGATGCCAAGGAGAGTGGTACCTCACTACATTTTTCCTATCTCTAATCCTCAAATGTCCTAATGGCTCCTGCCAAGTCAAAAGGAAAGTCCTCACAATTAGAGGCTAAGTCCAATGTTAATGTTAAACCTATTGACCATAGAATACTTAGTTTTTTCTCTTTCAAATATTCTATCTGACAATTTTTTGATGTCTATATATGTTTCATGGTTTCATTAACGATAAGATTTTTTAAAATTTTGAAATTATTATAGATTCACATACAATGGTAAAAAAATGCAGAAACATCTGGTGTATGCTTTACTCAGTTTCCTCCTCCTTCAACAACAACAAAAAGTATAATAAAATATCAAGAACAAAATATTGGTATTGATACAGTTCAGATACAGAAAATTTCCACCATTACAGTGATACCTACTGTTGCCCTTTTATTGCCACATCCACTTTCCTCCTACTCTTCTTCCCATATTTAGCTCCTGGCAATCATTAGTCTGTGTCATTTCAAAAATGTTATATCAATGTTATATCAAAAGCATATACTAGGTAACCTTTCAATATTGGCTTTTTACATTCAACATAATTCCCTCAAGACTCATTCAAGTTGGAGCATGTATCAATAGTGTGTTCCTTTTCTATTGTTGAGTACTCTCCATGGTATGGGTATGCCACAATTTGTTTAACCATTCATCTGTTGAAGGACATCTAGATTGTTTCCAGATTTTGGCCATTGCAAATTAAGCTGTAATATAGGCATGTGCAAGACTTTGTATGAACATATGTTTTAATTTCTTTAAGACAAATGTCCAGGAGTGTAATTGCTTGGTTATATAGTATGTATATATTCACATTTTAATTTTTTTAAAGAAGGAGGGAGAATGAGGGGCAGAGGGAGAGGGAGTGAGAGAATCTTAAGTAGGCTCCATGCCCAGCACAGACCCCAACATGGGGCTTGATCTCACAACCATGAGATCATGACCTGAGACAAAATCAAGAGTCGGATACTTAACCTATCGAGCCACCCAGGTGGCCCCAAGTTTTATGTTTTTTGGCTGTTCTTTTTTTTTTTTTTTGGTTTGTTTTTGTTTTTGTTGTTCTTAGAGTGAGGGCCTGGAAGGAATAGTGATGTTCTATCCTTTCCAGAACTCGAAGTCTCCCTTCCTGTACTTCTGTGATGTTTTGCACAGTTATAATACCCATCCTTCATTACTGCAGACATAAGGGCATTGCATTATGACTTGGGAGATGATATTAGATGTGTAAGAGACTGCCTTTCTATCTGTGGTATCTTATCCACCAGAGCATACAAAGCCCTCTCTTTGTTCTTGTGAATTCTGGGTAATGGGTATTATCTTCTTTCATGGAACATGGGAAGAAGATACATCACATTTCTTTGTTTTTCTAAACCAGATTGCATGAGTTTAAATTGCTCAAAGTGTAAATCAATAATTTCAATAGTTATATTTTTTATAGGATATTACTAGATTTTGATGCTTACTTGGTCCCAGGAAAAAGATGGATATAGTCCTTAGTTCTTTGTTTGCTATGGATACTCCCATTGTTCATTCTAATAGAGAATGGCATCAGGTATGACCTAAATTGGCCCTTGATAGTCTAGCTACTGTGTCAGAGAGCTATTGAGCTGCCCCTTTGACCAAGTCTTGCCACTGATCACAGGCTGAATCCCAGAACATCTCACAGCTGCTCTCAGTGTCTTTACTGGTGGAGTCCAACTTCCATAGATGTGCACTACTGTATTTTACCATTTTAGGTGGTATAAAGATCTTTTTAAAAATCTCTATCACTGTGGGGCACTTGGGTGGCTCAGTCATTAAGCATCTGCCTTCGGCTCAAGTCATGGCCCCAGGGTCCTGGGATGGAGGCCCAGATTAGAATCCCTTGCTCAGCGGGGAGCCTGCTTCTCCCTCTCTCTCTGCCTGCTTCTCCCTCTGTCTGTGCTCACTCTCTTCCTCTCCTTGTCAAATAAATAAATAAAATATTTTTAAAAATCTCTGTCACTAGCAGAAACTTTCATTCAACCCCCAGCATATCTCTTGAGAAGTGATTAAGAACATGGAATATGGATTCAGACTATTTCGGTTAAAATCCTGCATCCATCATGTACTACTTCAGTGACTTACCAAATCATAACCCCCGCCATCCTCCTTTTCCTCCTCTACAAAAGCTAACACTATTATAATAATGAATTAAACAAGATTATATTTTTAAATTGCTACAACAGTGCTTGTTAGTGTAATAAAATAGCAAAGGTGTCAGGTTATATAGTAAAATATAATAAGTTCTTGATACTTAATAGGTAAAATTTCTCTGCCTAGGCCACCCTCTGGGGCATCAAACTGATCATAGCCACTTTAATTGCTAAGGCTTTCACAATAATCACCTAGGGGATAGGGGTCTATTTTCAGGGTAGCCCTGAAGTACACTGAAGATGTTAATCTTCTACCTGCAAAACACCCTGCCCTGACCTGGGTAAAAGAGCTTAGACCATTGTTTCTCAAAGAGTGGTTCACAAGTCATCTGCATCAAATCTTTTAGGATAGGGCCAAGACATGAGCATATTTATTAAGCTGTCCCTATGATTTGAATGCACACTAACATTTGTCAACCTCTTCTCTACATTCTCCATGCCTTGTCATATATGGTTGTTTCTTTCTGAAATGTCCATTTCCCTATGCCCACCTGTGGAAACAAAATGCAGCCTCCTCCATGAAGCCTTCTCTAATTTATTTTCACTACCTGTAGCATTTGCAACATCTTCTGTTGCTATGGGCTGAATGAGATGGGGAGGAATCAGAACTGGGGTGCTGGAGAGTGTTGGGGAGCACTGGAATGTAATGCCTGGACTAGAGTGGTAGGAAAGGCCCATGGTTTATACTTGGATGTTGGGCAATAATATTGAAGTGATATTGCAAAAAAAAAAAAAAAACAGTGATATTGCAAAGAACAGAGAAAAGTCAATAAACAGGACAGGGGATGTGGGGAGGAAGCAGCAAGGAAGTAGTTCCCAAGGGTTTCTCTGATCTGTCAGAAAAGTAAATGCATCTTCCCACACATCCACCCACCACCCATCCCATATGTTTTATGTCTGGAGAAGGGTGTGTGTGTACAGAGTTGGTATCAACCAGTAGCCTCACAGCACTACGTTATCACTGTGTAACTACCTCGGTAAAAGCCCATCACCAAGCTGCTCTGAATGCTCTGAAGCCACAGACCAGGGTATGAAACTTCCAACTCCTGAGACTAAGCCGGTGGCTCTGAACCTTTACACTGTCTCATCAGTGTGTCCCTGTGGCTGCCTCCTTCTGAAAAGTTTGTTTTTTTTTTTTTTTTATCTCCATCTCTATGATAATCTTGACCGTTCTTCAAGGACCCCTCTTCAGGCCCCAGGGGACTATGCTAAAGCACCTGAGCCTGAGGGACTGAGAGCAGGAACAGAACCAAGGAGTGGGGAGGAAGGTGCCCCATCCCTTGACTCAGCCTTTCGACCTCCCTAGGGTTACAGGATACAATGAAAGTCAAAACCTCCAAGGAACTTCTTCCTCGTCAGAATGACTTGCCAGTTCCCAACGCTGTGACTGAGGGGTACCCGCCATCAGGCCTACCAGAAAGTGGGGCCCCCAGAGACCTGCATTTAGAATGCACCCCTTAAGGCACTGCAGCGCACGAGCTCAAAGACTTAAGTTTTTTGGTAAATATATATAGTGACAACTGTTTAAGATAACTGCAGAGGGGTTTAAAAAAGAGCGGCTGCAGAGCGAACCTAAGTAGGAGGGTCCCCTGTAACTGCCAAACACTTCCATTTCCCCACAAAATTCAATGTCTAATCTTAGCCAAGTGTCTCCCAGGATTGCTCCAAGTGCACATTTGTTTCTTCATGCAGACGACTGTCCTGGTTCCCTCTAGCCTCGTGGAAGACCTTATTTTAGATTTCAGATTTTAAGTAGGGATTTTAAGAGTAGTAGTTGGCTGCTGTACTGAAAGCAGCGAAATACCCTGTGTCGCCTAGTGAAAATCCAGGATAGGAGCACGTGGCCCAGCATAGGGATCCTGGAGCACAGGCCCTCAGTTTATCCTGGCCCCAGTAGTCCATTCCAACTCCCCAGGTGGGCGAGCTCTCCCTCCCACCGCTCTTGCTACCTCCTTGCCCACCTCTCCCACTGCCCCTGCTTCCTCACTCTTGAGCCCCCAGCTTAGTCCTCCTCATTAATTCACTTAGCTGCCCTTCCCCGCACTCTTGTAGGTCCGCCCGTCTGTCGCCTCACGACGATACGGTTCCACTTCCTTTCGCCTGCTGCCCTCGCCTTCTTCTCCACCACCTCGTCCCATCTCAGCCTCTTCCTGGCCCCTGAGAGCCCGCGGTTCCCCCACCAACACGACCAATACAGGGGTCACGTGCCGTTGCCTCCACTACCTGCCGCCCACTCAGACCCAGCAGCAGACAGGTAGCAGAAAGCTCCAGTGATCTAGGCGGGCTCCGCAAGCTCCTGATCTCAGAGCTCAGCAGCGACGGAATCAAAGAGGCTGCTGCTGCCCAAGAAGCAGAAGGCCGGCCATGTGGCGCTCGCTGGTCCACTACCTGAAGGGCCGCGAGGTGGGCGCATGGGGCGGCGCCGGGCTCTCGGGCTCAGACGGCGAGCTGCGAGGCTGTGCGGTGCAGAAGCTGCCTGAGCTGTTGAGGGAGCGCGAGCTGACCCTGGGCACCCTCAACAAGGTGTTCGCGTCGCAGTGGCTGAACGCCAGGCAGGTGGTGTGTGGCACCAAGTGTAACACCCTCTTCGTAGTGGATGTGCACTCGGGTCAGATCACGCGCATCCCCCTGATGCGGGATCGGGGGCCCTGGTTGGCCCGGGCTCAGCCAACCTGCGGTATCCACGCCATCGAGCTGAATCCCTCCAAGACGCTTCTGGCCACTGGGGGTGAGAATCCCAACAGCCTGGCTATCTACCAACTGCCCACCCTGGACCCCGTGTGCCTGGGCGACCGCCATGGCCACAAGGACTGGATCTTCACCATCGCCTGGGTGAGTGACACAGTGGCTGTGAGCGGCTCCCGTGACGGCACAGTGGCGCTGTGGCGGATGGATCCCGACTTGTTCAATGGCAGCATCGCTTGGTACAATGACGCTGGTCTCCCTGTGTACGCCCACATCCGTCCGAGGGACATGGAGACCATCCCCAGGTCCAGCACCAGCCCCAGTAACCGCAAGGTGCGGGCTCTGGCCTTCAGCGGCAAGAACCAGGAGCTGGGAGCGGTGTCCCTGGACGGCTACTTCCACCTGTGGAAAGCCCGCAGCACTCTGTCCAGGCTGTTGTCCATCAGGCTGCCCTACTGCCGAGAGAACGTGTGCCTGACCTACTGTGATGAGTTGTCCCTGTACGCGGTGGGCTCCCAGTCCCATGTCTCGTTCTTAGATCCACGCCAACGTCAGCAGAATATCCGGCCCCTGTGCTCCCGAGAGGGTGGCACGGGTGTGCACTTGCTGAGTTTCTACCAACATATCATCACCGTGGGCACAGGCCAAGGCTCCCCGCTCTTCTATGACATCTGCGCCCAGAAGTTCTTGGAAGAGAGGGCCTCGACCAGCCCGGACGCCTTTCCTGGGCCCTCAGGAAGGAAGCTCAAGCTCACCTGTGGCAGAGGCTGGCTCAACCACAATGACCTGTGGGTGAACTACTTTGGTGGGATCCGCGAGTTCCCCAACGCGCTCTATACCCACTGCTACAACTGGCCGGAGATGAAGCTCTTTGTGGCTGGGAGACCTCTCCCTTCAGGCCTCCATGGGAACTACGCAGGCCTCTGGAGCTAAGGATGGCTGCTGTGTTTTCAAACTGCCCAGATTTACCTTCCAGTCCCCTCTCACTTTCGTTCCTCATTCTGCGTTTGTGCTTTCTAACTCATAGTGATGTTTGTCTTGCAGGTGGAAACTGTCAATTTATCTGTCCATTGTGTATGAGAGAGAAAAAGAAGAGAGAGGTATCCTTCACGCAATCAAAAATTGGCTTTAATGCTTTTTTATACCTCTCCAAACCATCTTTTTTCTTTTTTTTTTAGTTTTATATTTAACTATTTATTTATTTATTTATTTATTAAAGAGAGAGACAGAGAGACAGCACAAGCAGGGGGAGTGGCAGACAGAGAGAGAAGCATTTTCCTCACTGAGCAAGGAGCCCAATGCTGGGCTGGATCCCAGGACCCTTGGATCATGACCCATGTGAAAGGCAGCTGCTTCACAGACTGCGCCACCCAGGTGTCCTTCCAAAACATCTTTTTGAATTCTTATTACAAGGAGTTTTGACTAACTCTTACTTGTCTTCTTTGAGTTATATATTCTCTTTTTAATTCTATGCAATCATGGTTTTAGAAGTTTGTATATTTCCTTTATCCTGGTTTTTTCATTAGCAGTATTGCAATAATATTGTGCTTAATTATTTTCATTGCAAGTAGATAATATAATAACATCATGCTTAAAAACAAGATTTGTACCTCTGTTCTGGAAAGTTTGCCATAGTTTTATAGACCATTGTTCCAATTGGAAAATAAATTTCAAGTTTTAGATTACTGAATTTGGAAACATTCCATTTGCAAATTGTAATCTTAAATATTTATAGTTTCTAAATTGTTGGTGGTAAACATACTTTTTTAAAAAGTGTTTCTTGGGACGCCTGCGTGGCTCAGTCAGGTATCAGTATGGGGCTCCTTGCTTGGCCGGAAGCCTGCTTCTCCCTCTGCCTGCTCTGCCTGCTGCAACCCCCTCTTGTGCTCTCTCTCTCTCTGGCAAATAAATAAACAAAATATTTTAAAAAATTAAATAAAATAAAAAGTATTTATTTTTGAAAAAAAAAGTTGTCATGGAATCTTGTTTTGTACTAAAATCCCAATTTGTCAGAACACTTTAGGAATGCAAGGATTCTGTTCATTGAATGTTCAGAATTAATTTGAAAACCTAATTGATCTTTTTTTAATCATTTTTTAATTTATTTTCAACATAACAGTATTCATTGTTTTTGTACCACACCCAGTGCTCCATGCAATCCGTGCCCTCTCTAATACCCACCACCTGGTTCCCCCAACCTCCCACCCACCCACCTCTTCAAACCCTTCAGATTGTTTTTCAGAGTCCATAGTCTCTCATTGTTCACCTCCCCTTCCAATTGATCTTTTTCTCCTTCAATCCTTATGTAAGTTTTAATGACTTGTTAAATAAGTGAATGAATGTGTATTTTTTTCACTTCTTGCCTTAGTACTATCAGAATTTGTGAATATATTTGAATGTTTCTTATTTATGGAACTTGCACAAAATTTCAGTGCCATCATTCAAAGCAGGGATTTTAAGTATAAAAATGTAGGGGCACCTGGGTGGCTCAGTGGGTTAAAGCCTCTGCCCTCAGCTCAGGTCATGATCCTGGGGTCCCAGGATCAAGCCCCACACTGGGTCCTCTGCTCAGCAGGGAGCCTGCTTTCCCCCCACCACTCTCTGCCTGCCTCTCTGCCTACTTGTGATCTCTGTCTGTCAAATAAATAAATAAAAATAAAATCTTAAAAAAATAAAAATGTAGAATGTATGGCAGGTGGGGCAGAATGTATAGTGATTCAGGATATAGACTAGATATTTTTGCTGTTGCTGTTTTTAATACCAAATACTATATTTCAGAATACTTAAAATTTTCTAATTCTGCTTAACAGTTAAGTCACAAGAAAAAACTGCAAAGGACAAAAATGATCCCAGTCCCTACTCTTGAAAAAGATGCTTAATTTGTAAAGTCCAAATTAGTAAATTATTTCATGAATTTCAAAGAGTCTTACATAAAGTAGAATATTTATGATTACTATTTATTATTTGTTGTTAAAAAGTACTAATGTTATAGCCCTCAGTGTAATAATATACAATTATCAAGGATACTGGAAGTTTGTTTCAAGAAAATGGTCTGGAGATTAAAATAAATGGGATTAGGTTGAAGAAAATTATTTTGGGGGCTCAGATAAATACAAATCATGGTTTGTTAAGAAAACAGATTGTATTTCTCCATATATGAAAATATTGGAAATGAGAAGGGAGACTGGACCTTCCTCAAAAAGGCGAGATTATGCTGACCTTGGATTAGCATTGTGGCATGTCTTTTTCCTTATTTTGGCACTCAGGTGCTGCCTTAGTGTCCATTCACTACACGCTGTTCAGTTGGAAATCTGAACCAATGGTGCTAAAAATGAATTAAGAAATACAGAAAAAATAAGCTTTTGTTTACAGAGATTGTCTTAGCAGGTTTATATAGTTGTTGTTACATAGTAGTAAATTGTAATCATGTGCATGTTTATGTCTCCAACTCAGTCATAACTGGAGAATAGAGAATGTAATTGTCATCTTTGTATTCTCTTATTTCTCCACTAATGCCTGGCAAATCATAGGTACTCAGTAAATATTTACTGAATGAATGTATTTGCCTCCAGAGACTTAAAGATTAAGGCTACGAAAAATAAATGCATAAACACATAAACAAGATTTTTCTCTAAAATAGTATGGGATCCTGCTTTGTTTTCCCAGCTTTGCTTTTTGCCCTAATTCATTTCCCAGTCAGGCTCTGGTGCTTATCCATTTTTCACCTGCAAATACTTAGATTTGAAGGTTTCTTTAAAACATTTAATGTTCCTTTTTTTTCAGAAATTAGTTTTGAAAGACTTTTTTTGTAGGAGTTTGTCTTCTTACCTAAAAGTAGTCATATGCTAAAAAACTTCTTTAAATATTAGTTGAGAACTTCACCGAAGTATTCACTACCTGTCTTGTTGTGGGATACAGGATATTTTTTACAGTATTTGATCATTAGTTGTGGACACTGGAAGGACATCTTTGGAGGAAATGACAGTCTTCCATGAGGTGGGGTTTTTAAAGAAGAATTAGAAAGACTATCTCTTATTTGTTCGTCGACTTGCCCCTTAACTTCATCGCTGAGTCACTCTTAACTTTTTCATAAGTTAGGGTATATCTTTCTGATGCTAAATGACATGGATTGTCTTTTTAAAAACACTAAATAGCCTAACTATGTATATATTTATATTATGTAGAAGTTTAATTATTTTGAAACATTTCCTACTTCAGGGACAAAGTGATCTACAGAAGTATAATTATGTAGTTTGTGAGTGAAGTAATTGAAAAAGTAACCCCCCAGGAAACCCATGAATTGTAGGTCACTTAAAATATGCAAGAGGACACATATTTTTATGTACAAATTACCTATTATGGTTGCCTGAAACCTTTGCATTATAGGTTCTTACAACTATTTTTTTAAAATGTTAATTCCAGAGACACTTGGATGGCTCAGTCGGTTAAGTGTCTGCCTTCGGCTCAGGTCATGATCCCAGGGTCCTGGAATCGAGTCCTGAATTGGGCTTCTCGCTCAGTGGAGAACCTGCTTCTCCCTCTGTCCGCTACTCTCCCTGCTTGAGCACTCTCAATATCTCTCTCTCTGACAAATAAGATCTTTTTTTTTTAAGATTTTATTTATTCATTTGACAGACAGAGATGACAAGTAGGCAGAGAGAGGCAGGCAGAGAGAGAGAGGAGGAAGCAGGCTCCCTGTGGAGCAGAGAGCCTGATGTGGGGCTCGATCCCAGGACACTGGGATCATGACCTGAGCCGAAGACAGAGGCTTTAACCCACTGAGCCACCCAGGCGCCTGACAAATAAGATCTTTAAAAAAAGTTAGTTCCATTTATGTAACTACATATTCGCATATACCTCCCCAAATATATTTCTGACTTGAAAATTTATGTTCTTCTCCCTTTACTCTTTGGATGAGTTAATTTCTATTTTTTTTTCTTTTTTGAGGAGGGGGAGAAAGAAATGACTAATCAAGGATATCCAGTGAAATAAACTGAGTACTCTGGAAAAAATTCATCTGTTAAATATACTCTAGCATTAATGATTAAACAGAATTGGATTCTCCAGATGTTGATTTTTTTTTTCCAACCCAAGTCAGTGTTGAACAAGTTGTCAAAAATTTTCCATCAATTATTCACAAAGCCCTCCTGGATGTTTTACTGACAGCTTCCTAATCTCTGCAAGTCTAAGGTAACCCAGCTACAATAAACACGTCACTATGTGAGCTGCTCAGGGATGCAGTTCAGTGAGAATGACATGTACTAATGTGAAAGATAGGCTGCATAGGCCACAGGTTTTTGCTTTAAGAGATGTTATTTTAATATCTACTGAAAGGGCTGCTTTAAATGATTACCTACTACTGGCCTGCTGCAAACCCAGAGACACCTAGCACTGGAGTGTGATGTCAACAAAAGGGCAATGTGGTTACAGGAGGTTTCGACAAAACAGGCTAATCTTTAGGAAGAAGGAGTCTTTAACTGCTAGGTGTTATTTTGCACAGGCAATGGTCTTTGCTTCCTAGGCCCTTTCCCTGCCCCCTTTTTTTTTCTTCTAAACTCTGTAACATGTCAGGGTAGTATACATTTTATGTCTTCATACTTCCACAGTGAATGTTTTGTTATTATCTTAATACAGCATTTATCAGAATGTAATGCAGTTAACTATGTGAGGATCTTCCTACTCACCCCCCATTTGAATGTGAACACTCCCGTCCCAATAGCTAGCACAATAGGCTCCACATACATGGCACTGGGAAATCCAGAGCAATGACTAATATAATAATTTCTTGGTATCAATTATTTTATCAGATTAGTTTACCAGAACATTTGTAAGTGTAAAAAGCTGTTTTTTTAAAGATTTTATTTATTTATTTGACAGAGAGAGATCACAAGTAGGCAGAGAGGCAGGCAGAGAGAGAGAGAGAGAGAGAGAGAGAGAGAGAAGCAGGCCCCCTGCTGAGCAGAG